CTCGCAAAGCCTATTAAAAGAACAAAATCCTTCCTTAACAGATATATTTATTTTTATTTTCAAAGTTCAAATTCGTAATCGATCTTTGACTAAAGTTAAAGAAATTATATTTATCTCACCATAATCTTTATTGATCACATAATACACATTTTAGGCAGGGCTAATGATTTCCTTTGATAGTCTCTGTTTCTCTCTCCTTTTATTTGTTTAAAGTTTGGGAGTCGAGTTCTTTTGAATAAATTAAAGGGTCAGTATTACTAAGTTTTCGAAACTAAACTAAAATTGATTAATTGATTTGTCTAAAAATTAAACTAGTACAGAATATATATATATATATATATACACACACACTAGGGAGCATCTACCAGGTAGCCAGCTGTGCTAAGTTGCTTGCTGCCTGCAGATTAGCAACCAAAGAATTTAGCTCATCTTTAATCCAGAAAATGTAAGCATTGAGTGGAGTCTTATGAGTGGACCATGTGGTGTTAGATGTTGAACCAAAAATGGATGTTTGTGTTAGAGGGGACACGTGGTGTTACTGCAGAAAAGATCCTCCTATATGAATATGATCATCTTCTTTTAAGATACTACTTGTATATATTATCATTGTTTAATTACCACGGGCTAGAAATTGAGACGTCTCAAAAACCAAAACTTGCTAGAGAGAAGTATATTATGCCACCTTGACTGACTACCAAAGCAATTAAATTACTGCTACTGTACTCCCTAGAAACATTTTAAATCCTGTACAGGTGTTAGTGCTTTATTGCATTTCTCAAATATTCATCACTCTTGTATATATACACACTCTCGAAAGTCGAAAGTCGAAACTCATCAGACGAATTGGAAATGGCTGCTAGTTTCCTGCAAACCTATTTTGTCATCCATAATAAAAATCTGAGGCTTTAGGCACACGCATTATACAGTACGAAGAATTGAAGATCGCAGCAGAGCAGACACAAACTAAAAATTGATTTTTGAAAAATGCTTGGGATGATCCAGCCATCAAGTTCAGGTAATTGTTCTTCAAACTATGCCATTTCCGATTTTATAGTATGGACTAGTAGTAAATATTAATCGATGCCTCAGTAAATTTTTCTCGGGGTAAAAAGCAAGATATTTATCATAAGCCCCACCTACCTCAGGGAGTCAGAGAGAACAGCGCATTCATAAGTAAAGCTGTCGCCCCCCATGTCTGAACAATAATTCAAGCTTCAATTTGGAAGAGAGGGAAATGATTCATTTTTCATTTTTCATTTTTCTGAGAAACAATTTCTAGTTAATTATATACAAGTTCTGTGTGTACATCGACGCTAGCGAGACGTCCCAGCACATATTATTGTTAAGCAGGTTAGTACATATGCCCTTAAAACCTTCACTGTTCTTTCTATTTATATATATATAGACAAAAGTACACGAGCGCGTATGCGTACTATCTCTCAATAAAGTTTACTAACTTTTATTAGTGCATTGACACTGTAAATAATTATTTGCAATATTTAATTACTTAAAAGATATCAGGTGAAACGAGCTACTCCAATTATTTTGAAAATAAAATATGTTATATTATCATTATTTTGAAAATATGTTAGAAAATAAAATAATATATATATAAGAGATTTAAGTTACATATACACTGATATTGTAAAAAACATTAATAAATATTACCATGTGATAGCAAGGTTGGTGAAGTATTATTTTATCAAGCCATCAGATAATATTTATATATTATTAAAATATACCATAACCAGCCTGATTATATAAATATTTTTCTTTTCACTTGATCATTAGTCATTACATATAACGTAAACTCATTTTAAATATTGCACCCACAGGCAGCCTAAGTTTCATTAAATAGCCTTACCTTGTTGGAGTGGAACACATACAAAACCGAGATTTCTGTTCTCTAAACAATTGTAATGAAGTATGTAATTATCAAAATTTTATAAAGTTTTTCCCACCATCAGGTAATTATGAAAGAGTGAGATGCATGAGGGGACCTTTACGATAGAAACCTAAGCCGATAAGGTTGCTGATAATTTGTCAAAAAACGTTTGAAAATATTTTCAGATGCTTATCCATTCAAAAACCAAATCTCTTTATTCTTCTCTTCATATCCGACTCTGCTTAGCTGTTTTCCCAACAGTCTTCCTTTGATATTTGTCAATGTCAGGTGAGTGAGAAAAAAACTCAATACTCCGTTGAAGTTTACGTGAACTTATTTTTTTTTTTGTCCGTCCCAAACAGAATGACCCCTTTTTAAATTTGATAACAATTTAACTTAAACTTACAATTCTACCCTTAATGAGAAGCTTTTATAACCATACAAATACTCTAGACCTCTTTTTAACTTGTTTAGGATCGCAAATTCTAAAATTCTTTATTTTTTTCTTAAAGTCCGTACCCAGTCAAATAGGTTCACAAAATTTGGACGGAGGGAGTATATATTATCAAAACATTTACTTAAATGTATGTATGTGTGAAAGAGGGAGTAGGTGTGGGAAACAAAATTATATATTACTCTTTCTTTCCCATTTTATTTTATGTGCCGCTGTTTCTTTTTTAAATCTTCGTGTCTAATAAAATATAATCGACCATTTTATGTGTCACTATCTATATTTTAAATTCCATATCTAGTAAAATATGGTTGCATAAATTGGAACAGAGAATTTTCTAGTAGTTTTATTTTAATCTTCAACTACTTCAATTGGACAAAATGTGGGAATTCACTCCTTTAGTGTCCTTTCATTTGGAATCTTTTACATAGCTGATAATCTTTGGTTAATTACTGGAACGAACTATCATCCTTAAACATTTGCTTATAACCTTTTAAACCATATTGTTATCAGTGACTTAGTCAAAATATTCACTAAAGAGATTAAAAATAAAAAGGAGTAGACACATGAAGAACCAAATGAATTTAATATTTACTATATATACATAATAATTTTAATGATATAAATACAGTGTAATTGTCCCGTGAAAGGGTTCAAAAGAACCTTACGTCCTTATTTCCGCCCCAGACGATATACGTTATGATATACATCAAAAGTTAAGATGCAATGTACAATATTATGAAAAATTAAACAGTTTTAACATCATCAAGAATCCAAATTATTGCCCTTGCATCTTTAGGAAATGAATTATAGTAGAAAATAAACAACGAAAAGGAACAATAAAAGCAGCTTTACAGATTTTAATCATAACGTAGAGTAGCTGTGAAGATGCTTTAATTTGGTTGAATGTTACCCGATTCTTGGGCCTTTCTTTTTCATTTCCACTACAGCCTTACAGCTTTGACCATGATGCCTACATAGCTAGGTTTAAAGAAGAATATGTTTATACGATTTTCTTTATTATTGGTTCATGTAGTTGTAATCAAGATCGTACTTCTCTAATATACCGTCTATTTTGTTCTTTAGCCAAACCCTCAGCAGATGAGTTTCATTCATAAGCAGCCACGCTATATCACCAATAACTGAAACTTTAAAATATCCAGAAAAATATTATAATAGGGAAATAGAATCTTGTTGAAAATCTACATAATTGTCTCACTATGTTTTCATCTCTACACAAAAGACAGAAGCACCCAATGCCTAGACTCCTACTAAAAGAAAAACAAAGAAACTGGACTCTACTCCTGACATTTTCTACCTCGAAAGAATCTTATCAAAAACTACTTGATTGTCTAGTAGTCCCTCGGTTTCATGTTACGTAAGTTTTAAAAAAAAAAAACTTTTGAAACTTGTGGTCTTAAAAGTTTAAAGATAAAAAATTTGTGGGGTCATGACATTTGTGTGACTATAAAAATTTCTCATTAAAGGTAAATGGATAAAATGAAAGAGTTTATAAAATTGAATTATTTTCAAATTTAGAAATGTGTCACTTGTTTTGGAACAAACTAAAAAGAAAATTACCTCATCTAGAGTAATATTTTCATATTGGAGTATCTAAAAAGAAGAGAAGGAGCCAAATACTGCTAACATTTTGTAATTAGTGTAAATTAAAGTGTGTGTGTATATATGTATAGGCACACACTAAATATGCCATAGGAGATGAACCTCAAAACAAAGCGGGTCAACCCAGGATTCGAGAACCAGCTCACTTGTTTAACTCCCTGCCTTCACGCTTGAGTGGAAAGTTTAAACTCTATCCGTAACAGTTTTTTCCGCTCCCATTCTGACGAATAAAAAAAGTTACTCGTAATGTTAATCTTTTTACTATATGATATGAGTACTTATTAAGATAAACAATCTATCCTCTCTTTTTTTGTAACTAATTTAAATGGTTCGCGTAAAATAAATAAAAAAGAAAGGAGTATATAACCATATCGATGACAGCAACAGCAGGTGCGATAATTAATTCTGAGATTCTATAGGGTCTCACATATTTACCTGGGCCCTGGCAATCACCCCTAACAATCCCCACGCGTCCGAATGCCATAGCCCTATTAACCACAACAATATCTGAGCAGGCATCCCCCCACATCATAGGAGAGCGTTCTCTTCACTCGCTAAACCAACATTTGGACAGTCTCCATTGCCATCCAATCAGCGCGTCCAAATCTCACTTTCAATAATAGTATTGAAATGCACGACCGAGCAAGGAGCGGGACAATCTCAGAAGCAGTAACTATTCGAACAGGATACACGCGTCCAGTAACTGGAACCTCCTACCAAAAGTATTCCCCACTTTGGTTCTAATGAAGTACATACGTGTCACCTTTTTGTCTGAGTGCTCTATACGTGTCCGCATGCTTATTGGCTCTTACGTGCACACCAATCAGAGCAACCAATTTCCCTGGATACGCTGCTTTATCATGGGACCCACCTAATCCCTGTCCACCAATCATAACTCTTCACTATTCTACGTTTGCCCTAGACACGTGGCTTTCCTTCACCCCAATCACTGTGCTGTAACTATGATAATCCGCTCGGCCACCGGTCAAATGTTATTCTTTCGGTCTAAAAAAAGCTCCTCCAGAAAGCTCCTCAGCTGTGATGGACGGTGGAAATGGTTGGCCCGCCGCTAGATACGCCGGTGGACCGCAGGATACGACGATAAAGAACCGGATAATGCTAAGATTCCGACCGATCGCACCTAAACCGGTCGCCGGGGGTTCATCTCCTGGTTCAACACCGGAAGGAAACAAGATAGAACTTGTTACCAAACGAAGAGTCAAAAGAAAGTACGTTAGAGTTAAGAAAAATAGCAAGTTCAAAAGTAACAAAGAAGAAGAAGGAGAAAAGGACGGATCCTTACAGTTTACTGATAGTCAAACTGTTTTAACCCTTCAGTTGATGCCTGAAAGCAGTAGCAGCGTTAAGAACTCTTTAGAAAATATCGGATCTAGACCTTTTTGGATGAATTTTCAGAAACCGGAGAATAACGATGTTTTAACAGAAGGATCAGTGGATCGGATAGATCGGACGGTGGAGATACAGAAGAAAAGGGTTATAGAGTCATGGGTGATGGTGGATAAAATGACAAACACGTTGGTAGATGGAGAAGCGTTAGGGAGTACGGACATGGATAAGATGAAGAATCTGGAAGCTGACACGTGTCCAGGGCTCATATCGGACGGCTTAGATAGGGTTCAGTGGGTGAATCTGACGTATAGGAGATTGGTTGATCCTCTAGAAGGGTCTGGAACGCCGCCGGAGCTGGTGACGTGGCTGGTAGTGAAGGAGAAAATAAATTTGCCTTCTTCTTTGCCAGCTTTTGCATGCACTGTAAGGATACTGTATATGAAGCACTCACAGACAATGCCGTGTGATGTGTGGAAGATGGATTTTGGAGGATTATTTGCATGGAGATTTGATGCTAAAGCTGCACTTAGTTTGGGTCGTTGAAGAAATTCAAAACCCTCTTCAATTCCTGCAGCAAGAAGGGATAATCAAAAGCTAGCAGGTAATTATATATTATAGTATATCTCAGCCAAAATCATGGCGCCCTAATGCAAAATAATGATTGGTAAAATTTGTGCTTCTTTTGCGCATAAAATCTGGCGCATAAGGATGCACTTCTTGTTTAAATCTCTACTTATAATTGTAAAAAGATATTGTTGAAATCGTGAATTGTGAAATTGACTAGCTTTCTGTTAATTTCAACTCTTGATAATTAATTTCATATGTTTCTTAAACTTATTAATTCAAAGTGAAGTCATATAGATAACAGGTGAATCAACTCGAGTTTCAAAGATGGAAGATTTAGATGCTAATTAAGTGAATCAACTCTGAGGTTTCAAAGATGGAAGATGTCCACGATACAACTATGATATCTATATAGTTGAGTATACTTTTATGTTAAGGCGAGTTTCTTGATCAAGAAAAATGAATGTTATTTTGATGAAAACTCAGGATCACTCTTTCTGTCAATCATCTTTGTCCTTTACTTACGATATATTTTCAAAATTAAACGTATCGTATTTTGCTACCTTTTCGAACCAGTAATGCAAAAACATAATCAAGTTAAATACTTTTAACAGATTGCTCTAGTTATATTTTTTTAATGGCATTCACATTTTTGAATACTATTTTCTATCAAGTGATTGCTATTTTTGAGAGAAATGACTGAAGACAGTGATGCTAACTACAAAATTAGAGCTTAAAAGAATATTTGAGAAAATTATGGTAGAGAACATCTTCAACTACTTAAAACTAACTAGTTAAATTCTTATGATATGGAGGGATAAATTTAAATTGCTCTAACAAAACTTAACTAGTAACACTAGAAAACTCAGGTTGTCTAGCTTTTACCGTGAAGAGTAATCATCATCATGACATTGTCTACCGTTTCTTGTAAGTCTATCAAAATTCATTCTTACAAATCATCTTTCAAAACTTACTGCTGGGAAAGGATATATGAAGAGGAAGTAGCAAACATGATTTTGCTCTTAGTTAAACTATCTGCTGAAGAACATTTGTTTGTTTGCAAACTCTTCATCTAATCCGGAACAATTAATATCATTGGACAGGTTTAGATAATTAAGAACCAAATAATGGAAATCATTACAGGATGAGGCTGCTACTAAATGAATTACTTTGCTAACTTCTTATTCTTTACAATGTTTATCGTTTATGAAAGCTCATATTTTAATGAATTTAATTTATATATACCGAGGGTATAAAAAGTTTATATTATCATCGTTTTTAACTTGTATAACACATTATTTATCTTATTGTCTAGTTTATCAAATTAGGTTTATTATACACGAAAGTGTTTTAAGTTATTTTAATATGATAGTATTAAAAAAGTATACATTGCTAAATGCACATATATAAGTTAAACTCATATGGAATGAAACGTTAAGCCTACTTCATCCTTTAATTTCATTGGCACAGTTGGTACCTAACTAAATAGAGTAGGTAAAGTAGGGATAAGGGAACTTTGTGAAGATTACATTATTATCCTGACAACTATGTTTTGTTATAGTACTAGCTAGTATTGATGGTAACGTTAAAGCTTTCTGAGTTTGATGCTGGTTCTTTATACTTTAATTAAACTATTAGGAGTATTAGATTTGTTAGCGATACTGTATATGATTCAGTATAATGAATCATTACACCATCCTATGAACGTTGTGGAATATATGGTTAGAATTTCTTTCTCCTTAACGAAGTGTTTCGTATTCGTCTATGTATGAGGACGATGAACTTCTTGACAGGGACCACTTTACCTTTTAGTGTGCTTAGCCGACATGAATTTGGATTAGTCGGATTAGAGTTTCTAATACCGGATATATGGTTAATTATGCACATCACATAACATGCACAAAGAACAGCTCATACTTTGATGCAAATATTTGTTGCCAGGGTTAGGTTATTCAGAGAATCTCTTTTACAGCAGAAATCAATTGGTCCGTGTCGTTAAGAAAGTACTTGTGCTTTTCATCGAAGTGTTATTGGTTCTCTCTTCTTAAAAACCAACCCGGTTTCAGAAATGTGTCAAGGCTTTGAATCAACCTGTAGCCTTCTGAATTATTATCTTAGCCATAGTGTACCTTCTTTTACTTTGCGTTATCGTGGATCGTGATGTACGTTAATTAGAAGGCAACACTAATATAGTATGGCTGTCGGTAACACTTTACTAAGTAAAGGATTCAAAGCGTTAAGGCATGTATCTTCGTGTCCATTGACTCTGTCTTGAAAGGAACAGTACTGCAAAGAAATATTGGACGAATATGTTGTAATTAGGAATAAAAAAAAATAGAAATTAGATTTTCTACAATAAAAACTAGGTGTACAGAGAAGACCGACAAACCGTACCAACCAGATAATCCGAGTCAAACCGAGAAAAAACCCACTATGATTTGATTTGGTGTTAGAAAAAAAAATTCGACCATAATTGGTTTGGTTTGATTTTAACTGAAGAAAGTCAAACCGAAACCAAACCAACCCGACATTACATATATAAATTTTTTAGATATATTTAATATATAAATATTGTAATTTATAAATATTTCTTAAAAAATTTCATAATTTTATCTTATTATTTCAAGGTTGGACTTAGAACTTTTGAATGCAGTTTTATAGCCATTAATATTAGTAAATTAAATAATGTTAACAAAAGCCCAAACCAAAATCAAATCAATAATAATGCTAACAAAAGACATTCAATTTAATATTACGAACGAGAATGTATTGAATATCTATTTTTTGTTTGCAATAGTTTAGATAAATTAAAATGCATAATCTATTTTATTTTTCTTTAGCGTTTAGTCATGTAATTAATACTTCCTTATTAGTCTATTTATTTTAGCATGATTAGTACTTTTAGATTATGTTTATTTTTATTATGGCTTTTAAATTAGCAATATTTATATTACATAATTTTATTGTCTTTATTGTTGAATATTTTAGGATAATGCCATGACACATCTCATATTTTGTATTATTTTCTTGGAAAATACTTTATATAGTTGTATCTTACTAGGATTTAGAAATATTTTGAGTACACGTTATATATGTTGTTCTACGAAAATTTTACAGGAAAAAATCCCCGAAAAAACCCGAGAAAAATCGAGATTGAAAAACCTTAATTTTATTGGTTTTGTTTGGTTTTTAAATTTAATAATCCGACACAATTAATTTAATTTGATAATTGTAAAATCCGAACCATCCCGGCTTATGTACACCCCATGCAAGAGTCAGCAAACATTTGTTTTTTGGTTATCACTTTGTTGCCTTTATCAACAGTGTGTAATATTGTTTCTTTCGATACCAAAACAAATAAATAACAGTATACGCTTATTTCTGTGTATTTTTTTTTCCTTTTCTCTTTTAAGTTTGTGGATAAGATAGTAAAGGAATATATAACAGTATACGTAGTTCCTAACTTTTGCCACTATTCAACTTTGGCCGAATACATACAGAGACACGTAAAGTTAGCACGATTTTTCATTTAGACATCTGAATTTGAGCACGTACATTACATGAACTTTGTTCCAATTAGATACTTTTTACTGAGTTGGCATATAAAGTGATTTTCACCCTATATAGGTGCGTGAAGAGCCCAAAAAATAGATTTTTTAAATTTATTTTTTGTTTTTTTTATTTCCATCACCATTTTCACCATTGCATCCTCCACTTTCACTATTGTTGTGCCTCCACCATTGATTTAGCTCGAAAGTTTGAACCAACCCTTCTTCTTCACACAAAAAAGCAACTGCCACCCCCTTCTCCAAACAACCAGCCGCCGCCAAGCTCCCCCCTCCTCACCACCAAATCTTCTGCCACCCTCCTCTCTAACCCCCATCGTCGAACCCTTCTTCTTCTTCACCTCACCCATCTCCAGCCGTCATTCTTCTCTAGGAGCAGCCCCCCTATTGATTAAAACTGAAATGAGTTCGAGTTCTTCATTTCAAATCGAAACACCATTAATGAGGTCTTTATAAAGCTTGAAGGTTTAAAATGGGTTACTTGATTTGATAAAAAATTAATATTGGGATTGTCTTCGAGTCTTGGTAGGGAATCTTTAGTTGAAGTTATAATAAATTTGGGGCAAAATACATAGTTTACCCTCGGATCTATGGACCAAATCCCTATTACACACTTTTTGCGAACAAAAATTACTTTACATGCCCAACCTTTTCAAAGTGTGTCTAAGACACACCAGTTTTGCCAAATGGCCCGCGCGTGTTAAACAAAAAAGATTGAGCGCGCAAAACCTAGGTATATTCTGTCCAATTCCTTATGTAAGCTGACGTGTCAAGATGTTATTCTATTTTTTTTATTTCTTATTTTTTAATAAATAAAAAGAAAAGAGAAAGAAACCCTGCCATCATGTCCCTCACCGAAACACTATCGTTCCCAGTCGGCCTCCGCCACAACCCTCATGTCTTACTCTTTCTTACTAAATTTTTCCTTCTTTTACCTCCCCTAGTCTTTTACTCAAATCTCCTTCCTTTTCGTTTTTCCCAATAGCTACTCCATAGCCACATTCTACACCAGTGATTCCACTGTTACCACCTACTCCGCACTAAATTTTTCTTAAATCAGACGTTAACAATGATTTTATTAGTTAAAATGGAATCATAATCAGGGGTGGCAGAAGTTGAATAATGATTTTGTTGATTTTGTTTGTGGTTTTGGCAATTAGCTGAAATTCTTGAATTTTGAATTGTGATTTTGACATCTTTGTGATAACGTTTCTATTTTTACAAAAATTATTGTTGTGTGTTTGTTTATTGCTCTATCATATAGTCCTGTTATACCCCCTATGAGTTGTGTGAATTTCTGGGTTATTTTCTCCGTATTTTTATGAGATTTTGTTCATAGCTTTTTGTGGTGGTTCAATGGGTCTTCATTGCAGTTTTGGCTAATGGAGATCAATTTTTATTTGGTATAGAGGT